GCTTATACCGATCCCAATGCGTGCATCAAAATCAATGGGTGCAGCGGAGTCACAGAGCTCGGGGCTAGTCCAGTGCATGGATGTTCTGGGCACCCCGATCCGTTCGTTCGAACCGGCACCCCCTTGGTGACTGGACGGTCGAATCTCTAAGACGTCACCCTCCCTTCGTCTCCTGCCCCTTCTTCGTCTCTGGCTTTCGTCCAGCTGGTGATTGCAACAGGACCTGAAAGTGATGCTGCAGCCCAATGGAACCTTGTGTCGAGATGTTGCTCGACACGATTTCATGACCAGTAAGCAGGGCATTGACATATTGATCACTTATCATATTACTCCCATGACCGGGAAGAAGACCACCTAACCACTGAAACCCACGTGCCAATCTACTCAGGTCAGAGATGGTCCGAGACCGCAATCGTATTCCAGAAATATCTTGTAGGTTGACTTGATGCGTTTATCAGTTGAGTGAATATAAGTCGAAGATCCAGTATACTCAGTAGAATTCAGTAGAGAGTTGGATCGACCTAGTTTTCCTCGCGAATGCATGGGCTGGTAAGGTGTCATCCTCACACTTGGAGCTGCGCTTTCGGGCCTTGGACTTCTCGCAGGAACACAGGGCGGTCAGAAAATGCACAGACAATGCACAGGATGAGTGAAAGCTGCCAGCTCTTCGGGCTTTCTTCTGTAAGATCTGTAAGGCGCATTGATGGAGATGCACTGTATACGTCAATAGCCTGCCTAGGGCAGTTTGATTCCGATGGCGATAGAGAGAGAGAGAGAGACAGAGATTTGTGGCGTTTGTCTCATTCAGTCACAGTCCTGATCAGCAGTTGCTTTAAATCCCTTGATCATTTACCCAGGCTACAGCAACAAAGAAACCCCGAGCAGGGACGCCACGCACTCCCTTGGAGCCCTTTTCTCGCTCAAGGGGCGCGAAGTGTCGCTCTGCGGTCAGCAGACACTTTTGTTGTGCTTGGAGCCCTTCTTGATCGGAGTATGGCATCCTTTTGGCAAACCCACCATTGTCCATCAAACCTTTGTAAGGCAGAGGGTGCCTGTGTTTAGTTCAGTTGCCCCATCTAAATACAGCGTTGCAGGAGCTTCAGGCGGTGTCCTTAGCCACCGCCAAAGGCTTGAGATTCCCAGAGCTGGGGCCGATGCTGAAGGATGCAGCCCCTCGGAAGGAGGACATGTGCAAAATCCGGTGGTGAATCCACTAGCAGTTCTGCAAATCAGCTAACAAGTTTGCATGCTGTGGTCGCATCAAGCTTGGCAATTCCAGTACTCCAAATATATGACATAGAGATCCAGCATACAGATCAGGTCAACTTATCAGGACCCTTTTGTTCTTGGGTCATTGGGTCGCATTGAAAGCTCCATAATTATCTATCAACCGGAGTCGTCCATTGTCGCATGACTCGGACCGGCTTCGATGCTCGCACCGCCTTCGAATCCAAAGAAGTCTCGGAAAAGCAGCACGGGAAAAGCAACCCCTGAGAGTATCCGTTAACCTGTTCTTCTTCTTCTTGGTGTCCCAGAACCCGCGTGCCGGGGTGGGGAGTTGTTCTGGACCTTAGGTGGAGGCTTTGGACAATGCCGCCTACTTCTTGGATGTGGCACGCCAGGCCGCAGAGCTGACGAAGCTCATGGGTGACATGGGCGCAGTCTTATTGGAGGCCCAGCTGCAAGAACTGCTCGGAGAGCTGGATGACAAGGTGCCAAGCAGCACATGCGGTGGTGTTGTGCTTTGTTTCTGAAATCGCCGGTGGTGCTGCTATTTGCTTAGTTAGGCTGTTGCAGGTGCTTGCGCTGTGGTGTTGCTATGTTTTCTTGTTTGGTTTGGTTCAAGATCGTTGGATTATGTATGATTATGTATGATTATGTGAAGAGTGTCGTGAGTCGTGGCTTCACGCCGACTCGATGTTTCATCACGTCGAATAGCGTTGTCATCACCTGAGGCTCACGTCCGACCCCACAAGTGGGAAGCAAACATTCTCAGGGACTTTGACCAACCAAAAACGTGTTTAGTGTTGAACTTAATTGGTGCCAGTGTCGAACTCTCCCATCAACAGATATGTCAGATTATGTCCGGCACGTATGTCCAAATACATCCAAAGAAAACATCAACACATCATAAACACATGCATCAACACATGCATATATGTTATTGTTTGTGTTGTTTTGAATGGCCGATGGATCCTGCTGTTTTCCAGGTGCAAAGTTTCCAGTTGAAGGCCACCGCCTTGGAAGATGCCGTGGCCGACCACGTCATGGGCCACGAGCGCCGCCGCCGCTCCTCGCTGGACGTGGCGTCGGCGGCGCGGCGGCTCTTCACGTCGACCAGCAGCACGGACGGTCGGGCCCGGCAGAGTTCGGATCAGCTGCAGCAGATGCAGGTGGGGGTGGGAGGAGGAACTGGGGTGGAGCAGGAGGTGGCTTGTTGGGTTGATGGGGTGGCTGAGCACGTTCTTGTGAGAGTTTGGGCGGTTGAGGGGGTTGGAAGATGAAAATGGGAGCATCACAGCTTCTTGCCGCGCTTGAGGTGAAGATCGACCAGACGGTGTCAGAGCTCCGGAAGGAATTGAAGGCCTTCAAGGGCGTGAAGGACGGGTCCAGGGCATCCTGCTCCAAAATGGCTGGATCCATTCCAGACTTTGGCATGGCCCAGGCCGCCTCAAAGGGGAAGGCGGTTGCACTGCCCTAAGAGTCGCATCATGACAATATCCTATAGTGTGTTTGTTGGACGGAGCCGAACTTGACGAGTTGCGGTTCTGGAAACAGCGATGAAGTAGAACCGAAAGGACAGAAAACCAAGCTGGGTTTCTTTGCACCGCTTTGAGCGCCAATTGCCTGTTGTTGGAAACTGGAACCGCTGCCCAACATGACATAGGTGTCAAATGTTGCAACTCTGGAACTTCATGGGATCAAGGTTCGGCAGGCCGGAGGGGTTGGTTTTCCAAGTAGCTGGACGTGTTTCACTTGAATCTGGATTGGTCCGTTGTTGGTATTTTTGAGGTGATATCAGTTGGGTGTATTGGTCCAACTTGGCCTGGTATGTTTGACAAGCTGGGGGTCTTAGATATGAGAAGCTGAGGGCCCCAACCTCGCCTGTTCCCGCCAGCGGGCCCCAACCTCGCCGTTCCACCCACAGGACACCCTGGGAAAAGCCCAAGAGGAGGCACAAAAACTCTTGGAGCGCTTAGGATCTGAGGAGACTCGCAGACGCAGTGGTCGGCCGAATGCGATGGTCCAACCCTTGCAGGAGCCCCATGTGCTTGACCGGCGTCCCTATCCAGGCACTCCATGTATGGTATGTATGCCTACATTGACCTCTGAAACCATCCAATGTATGGTCATACATGGAGTGTTTGGGTATGGATCCACCAACAGGAGACTGCTATATGTGATTTGACAAGTTGTGTGCTAGTCAGCTGGAATGTGGTTAATATCGAGATCGAATTTCGCGAGCAAACGCAGGAGGGTTCTATGAAAGCCTTGCCAGCCGTGGCCACCCCTGCCTACACTGCAAGCGTGAGTATGGAGATCTTCCAGAAGGGAGACCAAGTAGCACCGGCTGAAATTGTGTGTTTTCTTTCCGACCCTTCTGCTCCGAATGGACCAGCGGCCCTAGCCCCCAACGGCAGACGGTCAGGAACATGGTCCCTTGGATCCCCCGACAAACAAGACTTTGTCTTCCGAATGGTAAGTCGGGGGGGTCCCATCTTGCATGTTGGTTGGAGTCCAAGTGCCAATGAACTCAATGGACGGGTCGATTCTGTTCAGCCTTTCTTTTGATCGTTCCGTTACGATCGATTCCCTTCGATAAGCCAAATACAAACAGAAAGAATGGGAGGAGGCAATCAAGCAGGGGCCCATATAGTATTTTGTAGGTGAAATTTAGACAGACCTGTGAGAGCTTCCCTTCAATGGCCCTCTCCCTGTTCCCCATCTTCCTGAGGTCCAGGTGCACAGCGCGGCGCAGAATGTGTGGTTCCCCGACGGCGTGGTGGAGGAGATCCTGCCTGAGGATTCCTCTGAGGGCCCTAAAGGCTCCATGCGCGTGCGCTACGCGCACGGGGAACGGCAAAAGTGGGTTCGGCCTGAAGAGGCCGCGTCCATCTTGCAGCGCTTATGATGTCCAACCCCAGGCAACCTGGAGGAGGGAGAATCTGTTTTTGTCTAATGTTTCAGGTCCTCGTCCACTGCTGGGGCCGCAGTTGCATTCTGAAGTCTGAAGTCTTGTCCTCTCCCGCAGTAGTGACTAGTGTGCAAAAAGTATAGCTAGGCTTTATCAAGGAGTCATAGGCAGAAAACAGACCAGGCACGGGTGGTGGGACAACAGACCAAGTTCTTAAAGCCAATCGTTTTGAGAAAGACAGACCTCTTGCGATCCCAGCGGTGGATGAAGAAACCGTCCCTTTTGAAGTTGGAGATCCTGGAGCGAAGTTCCTGGAGCTGATTGATGTGCAGAACTGGCCAACTGGTTGGAAGTACGCTGGCCTGACTGTAACAGATTACACCAAGCTCACTTTGATGATCTTTAATTTATGTAACGGTCACGTGATTTGATGGTACTGCGGTCAAGTTATGTCAAGTTGCTCCAAGTGACAAACTCCTACCAAGGGGTTCGGGCTCCATCCAGTGACAACAGCAGATAGACTCTATTGGCACCTTTGCGTCAGGCTCTACTATATATATATATCGAACCTCTCTCTATATATATTATATATATATATATTACATAAATCGATACGATATCTATATAGTTGTGAGATGTAGACAGGCGTGTCTATGCTTTACATGTTTTCAGAATGAATAGACTGTTGGTCTTGTGACTTGCTGGTGGCACTCCCCAACCATCCCCCCAAAGCAGCCTATTTCAACAGCTTCCTCAAGGAAGCGCCGAGGGTCGACCATGACCACTGGTCGTGCGGAGAAAAAAGTCCCGACGGCCGCCGAGGATCAGGTCCGAGGCGATGAGGTCCGGTGCGGTCCATCGGCAGGACGAGATCAAGGTGGATCGACCATTGGTCGCTGATGACGAGACACCATCAGTGACTTGGCGAAAATCATTTGGTGACACCATCTGTGACACCATCTTTAGTGTTTAAATGTTGGACATGACGTGAAACAAAGACACGCTTGGAGAATTTCACAAGACAAGGTCAACTCCGGGTGAAAGTACAAGCATTTGGACCCGAAGTGCGCCAAAGTCACGTGCAGTCACCACGCAACCTTGGACATGACGCATTCTTTTCGTATCCTCTTTTGGCGATCAGCACGAAAGGCTTGTCTTTTCGCTTCCCCACCGCAGATGGCTCAGGTGAGCCTCGCCCTCGGTTCATGCACGGCAGGTCTCAAGGGGGCGAAAGGGATATGCTTTTAGGTCCAGGAAGGGGACATTTAAATACGCATAGAAAGCTGTCAAACCTAGGACCATGGGAGAAGCATTGACCCTTTAGCACGCATTGCTCAGCTACCATGGGAGAAGCAAGAGGTGCCACTTGGTTTCTACTCTTGAAAAGTCGGGGTGCATGTGAGGGCAAGAGGCTATCGGGTTCAAAGTCGTCAGAGTCGTGTGGTTGCAGAGAGTTGCTGACACACAACTAGCTGTCCATAGGCAGGGTTGCCCTTGGTCTGGAAATCGGCCTTTTGTATGTCCCGTGGCAAGCTGAACTTTGTTTGAGCATTCTTCGGACCTGTGAAACATTGGCTAACGGTTCTTCTTATGACCAGGAGACATCGTCAATAAAGTGGGTCATAGAATCTCAAGATGCTAGATAGCACGCCCACGGAAACTCAACAAATCGACAAAAAGCTACTAGGGGCTCCTGGCATCGCTACTAGGAGCAAGGACGCTACTAGGGGCTCCTGGCCTTGCCACTAGGAGCAAGTAGCTACTAGGGGTTCCTGGCATCGCTACTAGGAGCAAGTAGCTACTAGTGACAAAAAGCTACTGCCCATGGCAACCTGAGGATCTACGTTCTTTTGCTACGGGTGTTGCAACGGATCCGTGACCAGCCACAGGCGACCGATTTGCAAACCGAACGGCGGCAGGTACCGGGTCAAACTGCCCAAAAGAGGCAGTGGGGTTACAGAGGTTCTGTGGCAAGAAATATGACCACGGTGTGGACCCTCAAACCAGGAGACGTCGCATAAACAGGGATCAAGTAGCTTGTGAAGAGACACGTCGACAGATGAGTGCAGACGTCGCCAGTGCTTGAAGAGCACCCCTCAGACCGGAGTGATACTCTACATGACTTTCATCCATGGACCTGTTGTATCCTAGGTGTTTTTGGAACCGATGGGGCCATGGAGATCTCACATGGAAACAAAGCTATCCCAAAACTCCATGTACGGTATGTATGGTATGTTTACCTTGGGCTGGTGTCACGGTGTCAGGGGGCAATGTAGGTATATATATATGATAGATATGGAGTGTTCGGGTATGGCCGGTATGACGTGTGCAGTTCCGTTTTGACCTCCTCGTGACTCGCTTGGTGCGATCCGTCTGGATCCGTGCGGAGGGCGATCCGGGATGGGCGAATCGGGGTGCACCTCAAGCGATTTGAATCGAGGTTGAAAGTTTGCCAGACAAAACTGGATCGAGCAGGAATCCAGTTGTGAGTTCAGTATTCATAGTCATAGACGTAGTGACCCATGATCAGCGAGCAGTTGTCGACTCGTGAACTCCAAAACACCCTCAAGAGCCACAGACACGTCGGCCCCTTCGAAGGGATGTCCTCAAGTTCCAAAGTCTTTTGAGACTTACCCATCTCCTCCTCCTCCTCCTTCTTCCCCCATGTCATGCTATTGAATAGGAGAATGGCGGGGGTCAATCACATCCCCTTGGGACACACCAATTTTATTGGAATTTACCGATCCTTCCCATATCTCCCATCTGTTTTTACCCCCCACCTGCGGTTCACTTGCGCGCCCAGGAGCCCAAATTCCGTGCTTTGCAGCGGTCCTCAGCGAAGCTGCAGGAGCTGCTCGAGGTGCGTGGAGGCCCTGTGGGTGTGAGTGAGGGGATGGTGGTGAGGGTGGCAAAAAGAAGGTAAAACACACGCGCATACAAATCGATGTTCACCTCCAAGCAAATTCAGTAAGGACTACCCTGAAATTCTATAGGAATCAAGGTTCAGTCTGACATTACAGGGTTGCAATATACACATATGTAACATATGTATATATAAGAACATGTGTACATGATGCCACCTTGGCATGAGAGAAGACGGAGCAAGTATTTGCTGAGTCAATGTCCTATTTCGCCTATTTTTGAGCTTCAGAGATGCAATCATTCATATTCAGTCAGCATCATAATATACATATATATGTTACAATTATGTATGTAATATTTTGTAATTTTAAATATATAATTCTTGTACCAATACATAATATGTTATGTGTATACAAATCAGGAAACCCCTGGGAAACCCTGTTGCCACAGACCCATGTCCTCAAAACCTTTCTATTCTAGACCTCTCCAAGCCTACTCTAAAAAAATAAAGTGCTACTCTCTCTCTAATCCACTCTAATTTTCTAGAGTGGATTAGAGAGGTTTAGAGTAGCGCACGATGTTTTTATGTTGTTTTTCCAATGCTTTTAAAGATAGCTTTAGAGTTAAGATTTCCAACAGATGTCCACGCAAGGATGTGTGTTTCTAGTGGTTTTAGAGTGGTTTTGAAAGGACTAGAGTAGTTTAGATAGGTTTGGAGTATTTTTAGACTAGGTTTAGAGTTGTTTAGATAGGTTAGGCAACAGGGTCTCCCAGATGTTTCCTGAACATATATACATGATCATCCCAAAAGTTTCATTTAGATGGACCACCTGCTTCAAATCCAGCCTGTCGCTGCTCTTCTCACCCATCCAGGCGAAGAGCTCCTCCGGTGGTGTGGCTTCCAAGCACGGGAGTCCCGCTATGAGGCCGACGGCGAGGGTGACTTCTTCGGCTCCCGCCATGACGAGCTACAGGCCCACGCCATGCGACACCTGGCGAAGATGGAGACGGTGGCGGCAGGGATGGTAGGTGGATGGCCATCCCCAAGTGCCCCAGAGATCGGTATTTCAGTGTGAGCTGAGCTAGGGGAGGAAGGTCTGTCAGCAGGGAGGATGGCGGTGGATTTCTTCAAACATCACTTTGGCAATGCGGCATTGCCACAGTTATTCCACGAAAAATGGTGCAACCACTGGAGCGTATCTTCAACTTCTTCTCCCCATAGTGATGGTCCAGTGATGGTTACACCCTGGAAGACCAACATGGACCCTGAAAACCACTGGTTGGTAAAACATGGTAAAACACTCTTCCAGGAGCCATTGTCAGGGTCTATGTTAGTTTTCGGGAGTGTAGTTACTGTTGGTGGTGGATTCTTTGTTTGGTTTTGTTGACCTGATCCTGTCGACCAGCGGCCAGGAGAGCGCGATCGAGCTTACCGCATCGCCAGAGATCAGCGCATCGAGGCAGAGAGACGGAAGGTGCGGGGCATCCGCGGTGGGATCCAACTGGTGAAGAAGGGGAATTCATCAAGGAATGTTGAGACTCAAGTGACCATCACTACCGCACTTAGGCGACGATTCAGGGAGATCCCCCCAAACCTGGTGCTTCAGCCTGCCCGCAGTGCGCGTGGCAGTCACGAATCAGCCTCGGACTCCGATGATGGAAGTGCAACAAAATCACGAATCAGCCGACCTGGGAGCTGGAAGGTCGTTTCATGACCCAGAGACTCCATGTATATTTACCCATCAAGATATTTTTATTAATAGTAAAAATCCCAATAAATGAAGAGATAGAAAAAATAAGAGACATCATTTATTTGCTATTTCTTGTATTTATATACCTACATGGGGCCCGTTTCAGGGGTCAATGTAGGCATACAGATATGGAGTCTTTGGGCTAATTAGGTCGGTCATTGGGGATGAAGATACGTCTTGATGCGCCCCTATGACTTCTGGCCCTTCAAGATTGGCACCGCCAAGCCTATCTCTTTTACTTTAGGTATAGCATATATATATGCAATGGTAGCATTCTTCAAGCGCCGATGTGGTCATTGACTCTCGGAACAAGCACCAAGTCCGAGCCCAGCCTGCACAACTGGTTTCCCACAAATTAGATCGATATAGTACCAATCTTGATAAAGGATATAAAGGACCTCAATTAAACACATTCCAGAAATCAATGTTTTTTGGAATGTGTCGAGCCCACTTGGGAGCACATCAGGTGCCAAACATGTGTCGACCGATCGGGAAAAGAACACCACGGAAGGCCCTCCCGACGGGCGACACCGGCCCTCCTCTGCGCCGCTGGGGCGGCGTCTTGCCGGGCTTTGGTGCTGGAGCAAGGCGCTTGATGATGAGCGGCATGGAGTGTTTAAAGCAGCTCCGACCAAGCTGGAGAGAGCGAGAGTGAGAGAAAGAGAGAGTAGGGGAGACCAGAAGGGACCTAGTTTTGTGTTTGGTTTTTGTTCCCAGGAAAACTGTATAAAACTGTTTACGTTAGATAAATATAGATAAATAATATGGGAGAAACATTCAGCAGAACAACGCCGGACGGAGGACTCCAAGCGCCCAGAGGGTGGTTCAAGCACCGTTGCGATCAACAGGGGTCCTGACTGTTTTGGCATTGGGAAAAAAATACCGTTTTTGATACTGTAACTTACTTATATATAGCTAATATGTTCCTCACCTCGACACAGACACTATCCCAATATAACAAATATACTTCATGACACTTCGCTATACTACAAAAACTCTTTTCAGGTGGCAGCTACTGGACTCACTCACGGTACCAGCCACCCAAGTATGTCACAGCAAGTGTTTTGCTTTGTTCATGTTCTTTTAATCGTGCTGTTTCATTGACATTGGAGACAGAGCGACTACCCGCAGCCACGAGTCGCTGAGGATCACCACTCGCATCATGTTGGATGCGGCTCCCATCAGCGAGCGGCCGCGGGGCCTAAAAGCACTGGACTTGCGCAGCCTCATGCCAGACGCAGACGCCAGTGATGTGCGAGACTTGGGCAGTTGTAACAGTTGTTGCTGGTACACACGCTACACGATTCACTGAAGGATCGTCTCTTCTTTTCTGAGGAACCAGGGAATGATAGGATCGTCTGATTCAGTCTCATTAACACATGAAGATGGCATATCGTCATGAAGATGTGAACCACTGCAATGATCTAATCTGAAATCATGGCATGTTTGATCATTCCTCAGGGATTGCGGGTAGTGATGGGACCGAGCTCTCAGGATATGAGCTTAGTGCGGTGATCCAGCACCTCGGAACCACGCCCTTCTCGGGCCACTATGTGGCGCAGCTTGATGCATTCTACGACTGTGGTATTGAGTATGTCCGAATCTCTATTTGAGATTTGGGAAGCATGACCAAGAGTTTTTTCTGGACGCATGTAGAGGCTCGTCGAGCGGCATCTCAATTTTAATTTTGGCTCAAGCATCAATGAGCACGGTGACACGGAGCCTGGTTGCCATTTCAACCTCGGCTTTTGGCGGACATTTGATCCGGTTGTGGATCAGGACTGGCGTGAAGGCTGCGGTCGGTGGATCTCTGGAGGGTGTTGGATCGGCACTTTTGGGAGCCTTTGGTTCATTGCATCAAATCCACTTGGGAAGGAGTTTACTATTTCCTTTGTGTGCTGGTGATTTTTGAGCTAAGATCGGAGATCTGGTCGTTGGTTTCTATTGTGTGGCGTGTGTTCCGTTGCTTGATCCAAGTTACTGACCGAAAGGCACAATTTTTGGACACCCCTGAAATAGAAGAAGAGCCATCAACAGGCATAGAAACAGAGCACTTGTGGCTAACCTGTCAACACCTGTACATGGAAGGCTTTTTTCTTTCAGAGCGCAGCGGGGAGTGGGACGAGATTTGGGTGGCCGGTCTAGTACCGGATTCTGGAGAGCTCATTGCACGCAGCACCAACGAGGACGGTTCTGACTGGATCTGGTCGTTGATTCGTTGTGAAGCGGGCTCATTGCGCCCACCAGTGGGGGCAGGAGCACAGCGGGCAGCACCTCCGGGTATTGCTCCAGCAACAGTCAACTGGATATGTTCGCCAGAACATGTGGATCAGCGTTGGGCTCCAACAGTGGCAGAGGCAGCAGCGTTGAAGCAAGAGGCGGCAGTTTTGGGCTTGCATGTGAAGAGAATTGGGGTCCAAGACGGTCAGGTCACAATCCCAGGAAGGGGCATGAGCTTGATTCCATTCACCGCCGCTCCCATCGCAGGCGGGGCTTCGGCAGCGGCGCCGCGAGGGGCTGTCGGGGCGCTCGGGCCGGTGCCGGCCCCAGAGGCAGATGGAGGAGCTTTCAACTTGCAAAGCCTATCGGATGTCATCCAGGAGCTCAAGGACATGGCCAGGAAGAAAGAAGGTCAGAGCAAAGAGAAGTCCAAGAAGAAACGATCCAGAAAGAAGTCCAAGGACAAGAAGAAGAAAAAGAAGAGGAAAGACAGTTCCAGCGGCTCGTCCACGAGTCGATCACGAAGCAGTGCATCCAGCCGCAGCTCAAGTCAGAGCTCTTCGGGGCCCTTGCTGTGGAAGCCCAAAGGCAAGGACCGCGAGGTCAGTTACAAGAAGGTGCATGCAGTGGACTCGGAGAAGTTCAAGCGCAAGGGAGAGTTGCTGGCGTACGCAAGCCGCCATCCGGGGGCCCTGTCAGGACATTTTCTGGCATCGATCTACGCTCGTCTTTCGAAAGGAAAGGTGGAACGCAGCAGTCAGCTGCGGGAGGCCAGTGTGGTCTCATGGGCCGCTCAACACAGCGGTCTGACAGAAGTGAGAGATGTGAGGGAGGTCTTGACCCTAGCCGAGGCCATGGATGCAGTCAATCGAAAGGAAATTGCCAGAGCAATGGACATCCTTGCACAGCGCATCCTGGCAATCCAGCAGGCGAAGAGGAAAGGAGGGTCTTGGGAAAAAGCCGAATCGATCGAACTGATTCCCAGTGGAACCAGCCTGGCCTCATCGTCGATGCTGGCTCTCACCAATTGAGTCGCCGGTTCAGGAAAGCGCTGCACCGCTGGAGAAGTCACAATGGTGAGCCATCTTCGGGGTTGCAGTATTTTTGCATGATCTTTTCTGGGTTGGAGCAGGTCTTTGCGCATCACAACACATTGTTGAGCTATGGGGTTCATTTGTGGAGGATTGGCAAGGGCCAGGGACAGCTTCGGAGGAGACACGAATTCAATAGAGTTTTTCTGACACAGTCAGGTGATGGATGCAGTATGCCGCATGTCTTTCCTTTGCCCCCTTTTGTTCAGAATGGTCGGGTGATGGAGTACAGAATGGGCACCCTGGATTCGGATGAAGAGTTCGGTGTTGCTCATGGCGTGAATCTCATTCAGGCCGCCTTGAATATGCTGCATGGGAGCTTGGACGTTGAATTCAAGTTTGTCTCAGCTGCCCACTCACGCATCCAGGCCCGGTTGGGGTCAGGGCTCAAAGACATGATGATGGATTTTGAGCTCATGAGTCTTGATGAGATTCGTCAGTTTTTGAAGCACAACCAGCACTATACTGGAGGGGGAATAGCCATTCCACTAGGTAGTCGGGGGGGAGTGCCAACCTCGGCTGCAACAGTCAATTTATCTGAGGAGCTTGAAAAGGACTTTCCGCTATATGCTGAACAGGTCCGGGAGCCGAAGCTGCTTCTTCTTCCATCGAGGCTGAGGCCTATCCGGATCAAGCGCGGGCACACTTGGGTGAATTCTTCTTATCCTGATTTAGTCCGTAAGAATGTTAAAGCTGGATTGCATGTCTTGAAGAAGGAGAAACAGGTAGCTAAGCACAGAGGTAGCCTATGCCTAGCTGGAGCATTTGCCGTGCCTAAGGACGAGACAGAGGACAGGGTAATTACTGATCCTAGTGTGAATCAGCTGTTGGACCCACAGAAGCTTCCCCGGCCCCGTTTTGCCTATATCCCGAAGCTGCGGGTAACCCTGGTACCTCGCACAGGGAGGCTGCTGGTGTCGAAGAGAGACGCTCGCCACTATTTTCACTCGTTGAGGATTGGGCGCAAGTGGCAACGATGGCTATGTGGGCCACCTATAGCGGACTTCGGCAGGGGTCTGAGGTATCCGGCTTCATGCACAGCACCTATGGGGTTTGGTCCTAGCGCAGGTTGGGCACAGGCATTGACAGACGTCGCAACTAACCAGGCTGACCTACCTAGTGACTGTAGACTACATCCAGATGCGTTTGCACCCACGTCATTGCCTATTTGGGGATCCATATGCGATGATATTTGGGCGCTTGAGCATACTGAGGCGGAGACGAAGGCGGCCTTTTGCGGACCTACTTGGCTCTCGCGGGCGGAGCAGGCTTGGGTAGATCGTGGAGTACACCCAAACCATAAGAAGGCAATTGATGCGAGTCCAGGGGAAGAGTTACAGGGTTACTATGTTGATCCAGATTTGCATTGGGTTGGGGTTAGTTTGACGAAACGTAGGGCTCTTTTCCAAGCAGTTTGGCATGTGCTGACTTCACCATCGGTCGTTGTTGGCGACATTGAACGACTGGTTGGAAAGTTTGGGTTCGTGCACTCGAGCCGACCGGTGATGCGTTCAATCTTTGTGGAGGTTTATGGCTGGCTTGATGATCTACGGGGTCGCAAGGTGCGTGTCACAACCTTGCCGGATGTCATTTGGTGTGAGTTGATGACAGCCGCATTGTTGTTGCCCTATGCGCAGTTCAACTTGTCAGCGCCGTTTAGCCAGAGAGTTGAATGCAGTGATGCCTCAATGTCAGGCATCGGGCGAGCATGGGCCACCATGCCAAGCGATCTAGTGCAGCGAATGGCTCAGCTCTGTGACCACCCAGGGACATACACGAATTTGAATCTCCCCTTTGGGTTAGCCTTGAACGAAGAAGACAAGTGTCCACTACGTAAGTTGAAACTGCCCCGCAACCTCTTCCATTGGCACACGGCGGGTGCACGCTGGAGGCCATTATACATTTTTTTGGGAGAAGCTGACGCGGCAGTGTGGGTGGCAGAATGCAGGCTGAGGCGTGCGTGTGATGATGAACATCGTTTTGTACATCCACTTGATAGTGCTTCTTGTGTTGGGGCTTTTATGAAGGGGCGGTCTTCCAGTCGGCTTTTGAACCATCGGTGTCAGAAGCTGTGCGCAATCGGAATAGCAGGGGGCCATGAGACTTTTTATCCTTGGATTCCGTCAGGTGACAATCCGGCTGACAAGCCCTCTCGTCTCTTCGAAGGCGAGCGCAAGGGCCACTCAGAGTCGCCAGTTCAACCCGAGGCGTTTGAAGAAGTTTTCCTTGACCCTTTTGGACTCTCCCGGACATTACCATCATGGTCGGGCAACGAGCGTTTCTTTTTGCATTTGTGTTCAGGAACGCGACGAGATGATGACCTGGTGAGCTGGGTTGAGCGCCTTAGTCAGGAACACGGCCTGCACATCTACGGGTTGCGCGTTGATCCATTGTCTCCTATGAGTCAACGTGATCTTGGATTCACTTGCAATGACTTACTAGATGGGCATAGCATGTTACACATTTTACAGCTAGTACAGTCAGGACGTGTTGCAGGCCTCTTTGTTTCACCGCCTTGCTCTACTTTTTCAGCAGTGCGGCACAAACCTTTGCATAGACAGTCAGGTGCACAAGTCGGGCCACGGCCCCTGAGGGCCCGATCGAACCCTTGGTCTTGTCTTCCGAATCGGACTTCAAGAGAAAACCACTCAGTCGACATTGGCACGGCGTTAGCACTCATTTGCATCGGTATGTTGGGAGAGGCTAGAATTTTTGGGGCATGGGTTGGAGGCGAGCATCCGGCTGATCGTGGTTGCGAACCATACCCATCAATTTTTTGCTCAACAGAAATCCAACAGCTGTGCAGCATTGTTCGTCTTTGCATTTATGTCATTGATCAATGCATGTTTGGAGCAAAAACAAGGAAGCCGACTGGTTTAGTGTTGCCTTATGGGAATGATGAGTTTGTACGCACGTGTAATCACACCCAAGGTCACACACAACTGTTTGGTTGGGATTCGGCGGGGCAATGTTTTAGAACCACAGCGGCTACAGCATATCCCTCCGGACTGAGCCAAGCGCTGGCCAGCTTGTTTGTTACACGTATTCTTGCTTCGAAGAGTCACGGGTATGAACAACCATATGCACCCATGCAGGTTCATTCTGATTCTTTTGGCAGGGATCCTTGGTTTAGCAAGCAGCGCACGGCTTGGACTTGGCCGGCACCGAGTCGAAGCTTTCTTGCTGAAGTCATTGCGCGATGCCACCAGAGAAAAATACCAACAAGCAATTCAGCTCCTCAATCGTGAGATCTTGCAGACGCAAACCGATTGGGCCTCTCTTACTGAGGCAGAGCAGGATTTGTTTTTAGCTGAGTGGCTAGTTGATGGTTATGAACAAGGCAGTGGGCGCACCGAATATGGCTATGTTCTGTCTGCTTTGGGCAGAATGAATCCTCGTGTCCGGTACAAAACTGCCTGGCGTGTGTTTGAAGTGTGGGGTAGCTTGCAACCACCACAGCAGGCACCGGCAGCCCCCCCAGAACTGCTTACAGCGATGATGGTGGCTGCATTTGCACTCAACCGCGCTCCGTTGGGCATTCTCATTTGCGTTTGTTTCTCAGGCTTGTTACGGGTTGGGGAGGCACTGCAATTGCGATGGTCTGACATTTTCTTTGCTGCCGGCAATGTCACACTTTGTTTGGGGCAAACCAAAGGCGGCATGGAACAAAAAGTCGTTATTAGCAATGGCACAGTGTTTGAATGGTTGGGTCGCTTTGGGGCACAGCACGGGGCTTGTGCCACAGATACCAAAGTGTTTGATATGTCATACTCTTCTGTTTTGCGCTGGGTCAAGAAACTGGCCCTTTTGCTGGCTGGAGAAGAGATCAAACTGACCACCCATTCATTCAGAAGATCAGGGGCTAGTGAACTTTGCCGCCAAGGCGTGGCGATTGCTGACATTTGCCTTTTTGGTCGATGGTTATCAGACAGATCAGCCAGGGAATATATACGCAAAGGAGAGATTGCCATTTTGCGTTCTCGTACAATGGTGTCGGAGTCTGTGCGCGCCAACTGGCACCGCTGGTGTCGCTTGGCACCTAAAGTCTGGCTGCTAAACAGTTTCTTTCACCAGGCCAATTTAGACCATGTGTCCCACTCACGTGTCACCGAAACCTCATTTCGACGGCTTGAAAATTTGTTATTTGAGCATTTTGGACTGTCGTAAACCCTTTCGGGGCAGAGGAGAGCTGGGGAGAGACTTAGTGAAGCAAGCGCGCGGTGCTCCATACTTTCTCC